CATTGCAGAAAACCAAACGATCACATCCCTGTGTATTTGCTGGGCAGCATCTCAGCACCCACCGTCCTTCACCTGCTACAATGCAACTTTTGCCATCAGGATATTTCCAAAGAGCATCAAATACCCTACCGTGGCCTGACTCTGCACCTCAGCAACCTAAGCAGAACCTAAGCAGAGCCTCTTCGCTGCACCGGGCATCCAGACTCCTAGGAAGAGACAGGTTTTGAACCAATTGGCTCCCATTCTACATGGATCCACCACTGTATATATACTAGAAACAGGGACAAATGCTCTGTTGTATGAAGGGAAGGACGGTCAAAGGAACAGATGCATTGAAGGATCTGATTCCTTTGAATCCCTGAGATGGAGCCAGGCACTGGCTTCTAGGCCCAAAGGTACTGCCTTTATTGCAAGATCCTCCTCAACATATGCCCCATAGCAGGAGACGGGCTTTGTGCACATGTTCATCTGGCTGGGCTGAGCCTTTGAGCATTTCAAAACCCCTTGCAAATGCTGCCAGCCCTCAGGAACCAGCAACCACAGACCAGGTTGGCAGAAAACTGCCTCTGGCTTGGCGTGCAGACTAGCAGGTGGGGAGGTTCTTCTGCAAGGGGGAGGATCTGCTGAAGTACCCAAGTCCTTCTCTTTGCCTGAGCCTGTGGAATTGCTCCTTGGCATTTCTCCTGGCAGAGCGGATGCCGGGGTATTTGCTCTCTCTTCGCAGAACAACGTGCTCTTCATCGCTGTCAGGACACGGTGCATTCGCAGGCTCCTTCTGCTCCCTCCCCTCCCCGTTGCACCCGCTGCTTCTGCCAAGGCTGAGCAAGGGGACGAAAGCCTGGGGCATCTGGCAGCAAAGTGGCACCAGCACCTCGGGGTGCTTTGCATCCCAGCTCCCTCCACGATCTGCCCAAAGAAGTGGAAGGATGTGCTCAAGATGTCTCTGAACACCAGGGTCTGTGGTTTACCTGTAAATGACTGCAGAACTGTCCCTAAACGGAGATCCTTTCTATTGCCCTACAACTCGGCAGTTACCATGTTCTGAGGATATCAGAGCTGGACTTGCCCCAGCAGAGTCCAGGCTGCTGCACGGCCGAGGCAGGCAAAGCCATGGTGCGCGCTGTCGGAGGACCGTATTTTCTCCACATACTTTTTTCCAGCCTTAGCCTTGAAAATAAAGATACCTGAACCACAGCCAGCATAGGAAATACGCCGAACCCCTCCCACAGCTTAGCAGCATGTGGAAACAAATCCGGCGGGTACTCTGCGTCCTCGCACACACACGCTCTGCACGGATCGTCGTGGCCAAGGGTTCCTCGTGGCTCCCGCGGGCTGGGGGCTGCTCTCAGGTGGACACGGCTGCAGTCGATCCCAAGGGAAGGGCACAGGCTGCCGTCCCCGCTGCTCCTGGTTGCCAGAGAGCTGTGCAGAGGCCGAGGGAGGCAAAGTGCTCCCACAGAGCTGCACACAGCTCTGAGACCCAAACCCAGCATCTCGGCCATTTGCTGCCTTGCTCTGGTGACCCCGGGGCACCAGTGGGTGGCAAAAGCCCTTCAGGCTTCTGGTTGACTTGGGATTTTAATGCATATTTTTTGTTGCAAAGATAAAAGGAGCCAGGAACCCAAAGGGATGTAGAAACCTCCCATGTGGGCACAGGGGAGCCAGCGCTACCCATGGAGGATGCTCAGCCAGAGATGCAGGTTCAGGTAGGGGCACAAGAAGCCCAGCACCCTGTGACAACCCGGGGGCTGAGCTGTGAACTCTTGCCAGCCGAGGAGCATCCTGCACTGCAGTCCCTGCGAGCCAAGGAAGTCCCCTGACCAGCTCTGCCCCTTTCCCTCCGCAGTGCCGGGAGCTTCGTGGAATAAAGCACCGTCAGCAGCATCCACATGTGTCGGATGGGAGGGAGGGAAGAGGTGCAGGGGGGAGATTTGACTGCGGCTCCAGTTCCGGCACATCCCCTGCCTGCCCCTCCAGAGGAAATGACTCAGGGCTTTTTTTGGAGAAACTGCAAGCCGGCAACTTTGCCGCCTGCGCTGGTGCTGTTGTGCTGGGCTGCGAGGTGGAGGGGGATCCTCTTCAGCTGGACACGTGTGGTGAGGGGCACGGATAGAGCCGCGCTGAGCACAGTTCCTACTGACCAGGCCCAATGGGCAGAAAATCATCAAGATAAAGACGCTTTGGCGCAAGCTCTCCCAGTTTGCTTGTGCTGCAGCAGGAGCTGGGGGCTGCTGGCCCTGCTTCCCACGCCAGACTCCAAGCCGTGGTCATGCATCCGTGCCCGTTGCCGACAGGAGGGTGGATCCTGGCACACACGGCTCCCGAATCACTGCCAGCCCCCCTCGGCCTGGGCCGTCCCATCCCCTCCTTCAGCCGCAGATGCTCCAAAGAGGCACCGCAGGGAGGTGCTTTGTGCCGTCTCCACAGAACAAAAAGCAGGGCTTTCTCCTCTCTTCACGTCTCCTCAGCTGGATGCCCTCTCAAAGGGGTCCCTCCCCAACACGGTTCAGCTTTGCTTTGTGCGAAACAGCTGCACCCCTGCTAAAACGGCCTGCTCGCAGCTGGGGAGGGCACAGCCATGGCAGGGATCATGCAGCACCCTGCCAAGGAGCAGGACACAGCACAGGCTGTCACAGTGCAAGCCCATCTGCCATCTTCCCTCCGAATACCTGCTGTATCCCACATCCTCCTCTTCCTCTCCTGTGGTCAACCCAAGGATGATGGTGCCACATGTAGGTTCAGGATCTGACTGTCATCCACGAGGGCCTGGACACAGCCATAGGGGCTGCCATAGCCATGGGTGCTGGACAGTGGTGCTTGCTGGCTGCTTGCGTTCCTAAAAGTGATGAGCTTGTTGCTGATGAGCTGGCGGGAGGCAGGTCTCAGCTCTCCCTACCAGCACCCGCTCAGCCCTGCGCCTGCTGCTGCGTTGCACCTCATGGGGCGCTTGCTAAAACTGTGAAGGGTCCCTCACCCTTTGCTTCATCTTCTCAGACATCCCCAGGAGAACAAGGACAGGCGGCTCATGCTGAAGACAAGGAAGGGATGTTGCCTATTCACAGGCCAGGACACAGCCTGGACCCAAATGAGATGTCCTTAGAAATGACACTCTGGAGAGGGGAGACCTGCAAGCCAAATACGTCCACTCCAGACTTGTGGCCACAAAGTTAACTGTCCTAACCCAGCTTCAGGAGTCACTGCAGGCCCTGCATAAGCCCTCCTTTCCCTGGCGCTGCCATCCTGGCATCTCAGGGGCACCCCAAGGCAAAGCGAGCGGTTGTGCCCTCCTGGGCTGCCCCAGCTGCTCCTGTGCACAGATCAAGGTGGAGATGTTTCCCACCTCCCAGCAGCCAGGCTTCGAGGGCCCGAGTTGGCCTTCCCTGACTGCTGTCCTCTCTGGTGGAGGGCAGAGATGGAGAGCATTGCAACTGCTTGGTTCAGCTCTCTGCTCCACTGTGTGTGGAAAAGGAGGCTGCAAGTACCGAACAAGCTGCCTGGCTTTTGGAAGCACCTTTCTCAAAGGAGGAGAGGTAGCAAATCTGACCCCATAGGAGGCAAATCAAATCCACTTCAGGAACTGGTAGCTGGGAGGACAGTGGCATGAGCATTCGTCTCGAGTGACCACTCACAAAGGAGCTGGGTGCAGGTAGGGCATGCGCTACCTGCTCATTTGCTTGGAAAGGGTTCAGTCATTTGAAGCAAAGCAAGGAAGGGTCAGTGTGATGCCAAGCACCTCCTGAGCACCGGTCGAGAAGGTGCCTTGCAGCTGCCACTTCCCCGCAGCTGCTGAGGCTCAGCCACGGGGCTTAGCTGGATGCTCCGCTCATCGGCTTCCGCTGCCATCATCACGACACCGTGCTCCTTGCCAGGGAGGAAGCTGCACTCCCTTCCGGGAGATACTTGCAATCTAAGCTGGAAAAAGGGAATCAGGGGTGAATTCCTGGCTTCAGAGAAGCCTCCCTTTGCCTTTAGCAGGGCCAGCATTTCAGCTTGGATAGTGCTAGTCCTTGGAGATGATCAAGGTGATGCGCTAGCTAAACTATTCTGGTGAAACTGTTGTTTTGAGGCACCGCAGAGGGCGAGAAGGCAGGCCAGGCAGGCTATGCTAAGGGCTAAAAGCACAGGGAGGTTCAGCCCCACGACGTTTGGCACGGCCATCGGCCTCGCGGGGTCAGGCTGAGCTCGCTGCCTGGGGACCCGGTGTGGCTCTTCACTGACACACAGGACAAGCCACCCCCTGCCTGTGCATCAGCATCCCTGCAAAACCAGCCAGGTCAAAGAGTCGGGCTAGAGCTGAAACCCTTGCCCTGAGGTCCTGTATGGCAGCACAGCAGGGAGGTGGAAATCGCTGTAAGCTGCACTTGAAAAGGAAGCCATCACAAAGCACGTTGTAGAGCAGACCAAACACTTCTGAGAGGGCCTGTGGCCAAAACCCGGAAGGCTGATTTCCAGCAAGTTTAGTGATGCCCTTTTCCAACACCTGCCCAGCCCAGCACTCTCCAACTCCTGGCTCCCAGGAACCAAAGCCATGGTCACAGGGGAAATCCTCTCTGTCTTTGCGAGGCAACAAGAGGGCCCTGGCAGTGTCTCCCTTTGCACAAGGCGCTCCCAGGAACCTGCCCTTAGGTTTGCTGCCCTGGGGTTGTTCTCACCGTTGCTCAGAGCTTGGGAAGCCTGCAGAGGTGCTGAGCTCAAAAGAGACCTCCCCACTGCCGTGCTTGGGGAAGCAGAGAAAGGCTGCACTGGGGTTTAAGGTGACCCACAGTGGCTGCGAGGAGCAGCCATACTCTGAGCAGAGCGGGAAATTAGGTGGGGGGAACTCAAGAAAAGAGGAGGAAGACCAAGAGAGACTGTGTCACTTGTGCTGCCCGCATGGAGACCCCGCAGCCTTACCTTTGCAGGCCTTGCGATCGGTGATGGCTTTGCTCAGGTCACGGTAGAAGCCCTCCTTGCAGTAATGGCAGTGGCGCCCCGCGGTGTTGTGCCGGCAGTTGAGGCAGACTCCTCCACTCTTCCTGCCCGAGAGCTTGTAGAGCTCCATGTTGAAGCGGCAGCGCCGGGCGTGCAGGTTGCAGTTGCAGGCTGCGAGGGAAGGGGAGAAGGTGAAGCTGGGGTCCAGGCAGGGGAGCAGCTGAACTGCCCTTGGCTTGTGTGTGGAGAGTCCATCTTCACATGGGGCCCATTCCTCCCTCCATCTTCCACTGAACGCTTATGGGCAGGAGCACCAGGTGATGTGAATCACAGAGTCACAGAGGTCTGAGATTGGAAGGGACCTCTGGAGATCATCTAGTCCAACCCCCTGCTCCAGCAGGGACACCCAGAGCAGGGGCACAGGGCGGCATCCAGGTGGGTTTGAAGATCTCCAGAGAAGGAGCCTCCACAGCCTCTCTGGGCAGCCTGTGCCAGGGCTCTGTCACCCTCACAGGAAAGAAGTTCTTCCTCACATGGAGATGGAACTGCCTGGGTTTAAATTTCTACCTGTGACCCCTTGTCCTGTCACTGCCACCACTGAGAAGAGTTTGGCCCCCATCCTCGCTACACTCCCCTCAGGCACTTCTACATGTTGACCAGATCCTCTCTCAGTCTGCTCTTCTCCAGGCTAAACAGGCCCAGCTCGCTCAGTCTTTCCTCATAAGATAGATGTTCCCGCCCCTTAATCATCTTTGCAGCTGTAATGACCCCAAGGCTGGCAGGACCCTTAGCATGCACCCCGAAGATGGGCTTCAGGCTGGACTGTGGGTGGCAGATGGCTCCTTCCACAGTGAGTGAGGAGAAAATCTGCTTTAAGGAAGCGCAGAGGAGATGGTGGTAAGGGCCAAGCCAGCAGGCCAAAATGCTGGAGCTAAAGCAGGGCAGAGAAGTTGCTGGGGCCCTGGCGATGCAGTGGGGCAAGGGGCTGCCTGCTGCCCCGCAGGGTCTCCCGCTCAGCCGCAGGATTCCCGGTGGGAAGGCAGCGGAGGCAGGGAGGGCACCGCGCAGCTGGCTCCAATGTGCTGTCCAGATGTGCAATATCCGCAGCCCCCCACGGGGCCGGGTGCAGGGGAGGTCAGCGCCGCCAAGAAAGGGCATGTGTGGGCAGCGGGGCCGGGGGGCGTGCGGCCGCCGCCGTAAATCAGAAACAAGTGCAGAAGGGGGGCACCGAGGGGAAGCGCCCGCAGCGCCCACCGGGCACCTGCGCCGTGCGAAGGGTTCTCCCCAAACCCTGCAGCAGCACGGCCAAGCGGGGTCCTGGTTTGTGTTCTGTGGGGTTTGGGCTTGCTGGGGTTTGGTTGCTGGAGCCCGGGGGGCCGCAAGCCCTTTGCTGCCCTCGTGCTTTGCCATTCGCTCCATTCCCAGCAGCCAGTTCCATGCCGGCGCGCGGCTGGCCCCAGCTCAGACCACCCGCACGTGTTTGCTGAAGTTGCTAACCCGACTGTGTGTGCACGCGCACGTGCGGAGCCCCGGGTAGAGAGGAGACGCACGCACAGGCATAGGTGCACACGTGCACACACACGTGCACGCGTACGGATGCTCACGCACAAACCCGTGCACACATGTCCATGCACACGCATTGCCATGCACACACGGGCGCTTGCACAGGCACGCGCTCGTGCACACACATGCACACACACGTGCAAACACTCATGTGCACACCTCTTTTAACTAGCCACAGGACCCAGCAGGATACTCTCCCCCCCCGCCTGCAATTCCACGTGTGCGAGATAAAAAGGAAAAGCGCTGCCAGTTCCTGTTTTAACACTCTCGCAAAAAGATAATGGGAACAAGATTTCCTTTGGCTAAACGTGGCGCCCTCCCCCAGCCCTGGCCGCAACCCCCCCCTTTCCCTGCCCTCCCAGCTCCAGTAAATTGAGGCTGGGTGAGAGTTTTTCCAGGCATACTGTGAAATTCATTAACGTGTCAGGCCCGGGTTTAACTGCTGGGCCTGCTGGTGCTTCGTGCGAGCTCGGCCCCGCCAGCGGGAAGGGGGGAGCCTCGACCCGCCGCACATCAAAGGGCTCCCGATCACCTTGCGCCCCGGCACCTGGTTTGCTTGGGCTTTGCAGCCTCTCTTTTGAGGCCGGAGACCTTCTTTTCCCGCTCAGGAGGCTGCTTTATCCCCCCCCCAAAAGAGCCTTTCCGGAGGTCTGAAGGCGTTAGCAAGCCTGGGCTAGCAGCCTCGGTACCGCTACCACCACGTGCTTGGACCTCAGCTGCACCAAGGCTTCTCCGAGTTACGGGATTAGAGCCAACATCCCACACTCCACCCCAGAGCACCATCCTGGGCATTGCAGTAGGTGCCCCTTGCGGGCTGCACCTTTAAAGCTCACTTTTTTTCCCCCATTGTCTATGCAAGGAGAAACTTTTGGGGCAAATTCTTGCCACGCAGCTAGGAACCAGGATAGGGATCCTGGAGAAAATGCAGCAAAGACCGGACTGCTCGTGAAGGCCGCTGCATTTGTGAGTTTTGCTGAGGCCAGAGGAAAGGTGGCTTCGTGTTCCTGAGCAGAGGAGGTTACGCTTGACTGCTGCAGGGGGCAATTTGGGGATGCGGCAGGCGCTAATGTTTCCTTCCCTCAGCTGCCCTGGGAAGGGGAAATCCCACTCTCATCCTCTTGGGAAACAGAGGGCATAGGACCTGAGAGGGAGTGTGAGGAGCAGGGGAGGAGAAAGGTCATGTAAATGATTTGCCAGGCCCATTGGAGGTCCCTCTGCCTCCCATTTAATTGGTGAGTGAATAACTGGCCTGGCTTTTTTTGCACCGGAGACACAGAGGGAGAAGCGGCGTCACAGGTCCCTGCCCCAGGAAACGGGCTCCCTGCCTGCATCCCTGAGGCCAGCCTTGCCCGGAGGCACTTCTCACCACCTTGCTGGCATGTCCACAGGAGCCCACCTTTTCCCAGCTCTGGGAGCCTGGGAACCTGCTGGAAAACCAAAGATGTTGGAAAAAGCAAGATGATGGAGCTTGGCTCCTTTAGCAGCAGCCCAGGCCCAGCTGCCCTGGTTCTGGTTGCAGGTAGCACCATTTCCCTGCTGCACGGATGGCGCTGAGCTGCTGCCGGCTCTGCGCACTTGGAGGAGCTGTGAGGAGAAGGGTATTTGGTCCCTTGGTCACTGCAGAGACTGGGCAAGGCCCTGGCGGCAGGAACTCAACCCAGCCTGGGAGATCTGGCTGGGTTTGCCTTCGCTGCCCCTCACCGGGGTGGTGGCCCCGTCTCCACCTCTGGAGCAGGGTTACACGAATACGTGTGACTCTGCCCTCCTTTCCCCTGCAGTGGTCACCCAGTGCTAATCCGAGCAGACATGCCCCCTCTCCCATCAGGCTAAATGCCTGCACTGTTCCTCAGAGCTCGCTTGGTTGCAAGCTCTGTCTGTCTGTCTCCTGATAATCACTAATTAAAGGCTTGAATGTCCCCTGCTGTTTGGGGTATTAATAAGAATTTAATTGCACAGTTTGGTGCTAATTACGTGGTAGCTTGCTTCCGCCCTTGTACAGTATGCCCAATTAAACAATCATATGATCAATTAGACAATCACAAGATCTAATATTTGGCAATAATAGACTCATTAAACGTCGACGCCTTGCAACGGAGCAACCTTCTTTCCCCTTTCCCGATGGTTTTTGAGCCCCTCACGGAGCGCAGCCACCCCTTGCCCCACAGCCGCACACTGCTGCACAGCCCCTCTCCCGGCTGGGTGACCAGACCCTGCAGCTCCCAATTCAGCCCCAAGGCACATGCAGGTGCCCTGAAAGACGGAAACCTTGGCCTGGCTGCTGCAGGTGAGAGCTGCACCCCTGCTTCGGCACCAGGAGCAATGGATGGGGGTGCTACGTCCGCCTTAAGGGAAGGGAGTCCAGACCAGGACCCCCTTCCCCTCTCACGTCCCCATCCATGACATTGGCCAGGGAGCCGCCCTGCCCGGGAGCTCTGTGGCTGCAGCCTGGAGGGGCCGGGGCCATGGTTACGGTTACGTTTCGTGCTCCCATGCGACGTCCCTGGGCACCTTCCTTGGGCAGAGGCCACAGGGCCGGCAGGGTGTGCATGACTGCAGGGAGGCGGCATGGCCACGCTTGGCATGGCAGAGGGCTCGCAGAGAGCAGCGCGTGGTCCGAGCACTCGCGGGAAAGATGCTGGACAGAGACACAACGGGACTCCTACCTCTGATAGCAGGAAGCAGGAGAAAAGAAAAAGAAAATTGAATGCCTGCCTGGGAAAGGCAAGAGCATGAGGCACGAGGCTGAGCTTCCCGGTCCCCGTCCCCAGGAAAGGGCTCTGGTCCATCAGACAGAGTGCTAATCCCCTCCGCAGCGGCTGCACTCCCTTGTTGCTGCTCATGGGGAGCCATCTCAGAGCCTCTGAAAAGGGCATGAATAAGAGGCTGACCCAGGACAACCAGGAGAAAACGAGGGGGCTAATTAACTTGCTGAAGCCGTAAGGGTGCGTTGGCCCAGGCCCAGCTACGGACTGAGCTCCTCGATCTTTGGCACCTCCTGGCACTGCTCCTGTCCTGGGAGAGCAATGAGGGGAACCAGCCCAACCTCCAGCACGAACGGACCTCCCCTCCTGCTCCGAGCTCCCTGGGCCCGGCGCACCCAGCACAGCAAGGACCCAGAGGTGCCAGGGAAGGCTGCGCACAGAGCTGGGTGGCATTCGGATGCCTTGAAGGTGATGCCTGGTTAGCTCGGCTCCTAGCTCTCTGCAAGGCATCAATCTACCCCCACCTGCTGACATCCACTGCCCCTGCGGGTGACATCTGCTTGATGTTGCTGGGAACAAATAGGCTTCCAGTGACTGGGATGTGGCACTAGTGTCACGGACTGGGCAGCTGTGGCCCCGCAGCGCTGCCAGCCGCTCTGTTCACAGTGGAGGGAGCTGTGGCCAGTGGGGAGGGTCTGCATAGGAGAGCCCGACCACTTCCCCACGGAGCCCCTGGATCAAAGCAAGCCCCGTGTATTATCCCCTTGCTCTGCGGAGCGGATTCTGCACGCCAGAGCACGGCTTCCCTTTTGTGCGGCGCTCAGAAAGGCTCTCCAGCCGCGGCGGCACAATGGGAACAAGAGCTCCCGAATTACCAGCGAGTGGATCAATTACTTCCAGTGGTTGCACTGCACTAATCCGTTCCCCTCCATCCCCGGGTGTTTTCCAGGACAGCCCACCGACTCGGTGACCGGGAATCCAACCCCAGCAGCGGGAATCCAACGCAAGCAGCTCCCCGTGCGAAGGCTGCTGCATGGGAAGCACTGCCCTATTGCCTCCCCCAGGCAAGGGTGGCAGCCCCCGGCTCAGCACATCCAGGTGCAGCAGGGAAAGGGAGGATCCATGCAGATAAAGCCGAAGCATCACACAGGGCTCTCTGGATTTGGGCTGTTCTGCTCCCATTGGCTCCTCTGCGGGGATTATCCTGCTTGGAGCCATCCAGGTTGAATGACTTGGGGCTCTATGGTGGTGGAGGGGATGGTGGGAAGAAAGCCTCTGTCGTCTGTCTCCTTCTCTTTCCCCCATTTTAAACTGTTTTAATACAAATAGTCCTATCTGGATTTGACAAATGAAGAAAAACTACCTAAAACAACGTACCTGAAGCAGGCAGCCTTTTCCTTCCCTTGTCTCCAGCCCAGTCTGGCTTGGTTTCCCCAGGCCAGCAAGCTCCAGCTCCAGCTCTCCACTGTGCCCTGAACACCTTCTCTTTTTGGGTAGGGACCATCCCCGGGTCTCCTGTCCCAGGTGGAGGATCACAAACGGACCTTTTCAGTCAGATCAGCACCATGAGCTGCTCCCTGCACAAGGCTACTGAGCTTTTTAGCCTTAATAGACGAGGAATAGCCACCTGAACCCCAAATGGTGGGCCTATTTCCACAGACCTCATCAAGAAAAGTCGTGGCTGTGAAATGCCCTGGTAGCTCCTGGCAAGGCACTGGGAAGAGAGGCACCCTGGAGGGTACAAGAGGGGCTCCTGTTTTTGGCAGGTCGCACGCACTGCCAGGCAAGCAGGCCTTTCGGGGCCCCAGAAGAGCCCTGTGGCCACAGTGGCACACCAGTCAGACCACCTGGTGATGGACATACTGATGCATGGCTGTCTTCAGCTTGCAGCATGTTCCCCTGACAAATCAAAGCTCGATACCTGGCTGCAACGTCCCCAAACCCTTCCTGCACTCCAAAGTCACGCTTGCCCCCATAATAACGTGGCATGGTGATCCATGAACACCGTGGCCACTTTATGATAGCCAATTGGAGTCTCCTTCTCTGGAGATCTTCAAAACCCGCTTGGATGCAGTCCTGTGCCACGTGCTTTAGGTGTCCCTGCGTATGCAGGGGGGTTGGACTAGATGATCTCTAGAGGTCCCTTCCAACCCTAAGCATTCTATGATTCTATGATTCTATGAATTGATGGTCATACTCTACCCCGGTGCTCAAATTTTATCTTTTTATTGTTTTCACCTCTATATTTCCAAGAACAGCCAAGAAGCAGAAATTCTGGTGGAGAAAAAAAAAAAAAAAAAAAAGCAGAACCAAAGGGGTTCTGGTGGGCCCTCCTCCCTGGAATGCGTGGCCAGACCTGGAGTCCTCTCTCCTCCTCTAACACTGTGGGCCAGCTGAGCCCCTGGGATACATCCAGGAAAACCTGGGCTGGGTGTTTTCAGGACATCCAGAGCACTTAGAGACTTGGCGGAAGGGAGGCATTAGTCAAGGACCAAGCCCTTTGCAGGAGTCATGCAAGGGAAGGACGTGACCGCTGTAGCACCGAGGAAATGGTGGATGATAAGTTGACCATGAGGCAGCAGTGTGCCCTCGTGGCCAAGAAGGCCAATGGAATCCTGGGCTGCATTAAGAAGAGCATCTCCAGCAGGTCAAGGGAGGTGATCCTGCCCCTCTACTCACCCCTGGTGAGGCCACATCTGCAGTATTGTGTCCAGTTCTGGGCTCCACAGTACAAGAGGGATGTGGAGCTGCTGGAGAGAGTCCAGCGCAGGGCTACAAGGATGATCAGGGGCCTGGAACATCTGCCCTATGAGGAGAGACTGAGGGAGCTGGGCCTGTTCAGCCTGGAGAAGAGACGGCTGAGAGGGGACCTGATCAGTGTCTATAAGGACCTCAAGGGAGGGAGTGCAGAGGACGGGGATGATGTCTTTTCAGTGGTGGCCACTGATAGAACTAGAGGGAACAGCCAGAACTAAAGCATCAAAAGTTCCACAGGAACTTAAGGAAAAATTTCTTAACAGTGAGGGTGACAGAGCACTGGAACAGGCTGCCCAGAGAGGTTGTGGAGTCTTCTTCTCTGGAGATCTTCCAAACCCGCTTGGATGCAGTCCTGTGCCATGTGCTCTAGGTGTCCCTGCGTATGCAGGGGGGTTGGACTAGATGATCTCTAGAGGTCCCTTCCAACCCTAAGCATTCTATGATTCTATGATTCTATGAAAGAGGCAATGGTCCCAGAGTGGGATGGAGTGGGGGATGGCAGAGGCAGGAAAGCCCCTGTGGGCTGTGCTGAGTGGAGCGCAGGGTAGTCCCAGCCGGGCAGCCCTCTCCTTTTAATTGGCGCTAATTGCTGCGCCTGCCGGGCGGGCGCGCGGAGCCGCCATTGTGGAGCGGCGGCGAGGGGAGGGCGGCCGCGGCTAATCCTACTTTCAGCCGCTAAGACCGTGGGAGGTGTGGGATGCAGGAGCTCTTTCAGGGCCCCTCGCAGAGGGCACAAAGCCCCGAGGGGAAAGGGAGAGAGAAGGGGAGCGACTGCACAGGGAGAGCCGCTTTCACACGCAGCTCGGCCTCGGCCTTTGTGCACTGAGGCGGCCTGAGGGGGCCGTGGTGCCCCCGCCTCCTCCCCGCATCGCTCTTCTGTCACGTTTGTCTTTTCAGGCCCATCTGCCATGGGGGCGACCTCGCCGGGTTGAGTGTACTCAACGCCGGGTTGATTGGACGGCCTGCATGGCCACGCGCCTGGCCGGCCCGCGTGGGGCGCTCATGCCACTGGGTGCAGGCTGCATGGAGGGCTTCTCCCGGAGCGCGATCCCCCTCTGCAACAGTCAGGCCGGAGTCACAGCACAGTGGCCTGCGCAGGCCCACGACACGGGTCACACATCCACGCTGCCCCTCCAGCGCCCTCACACCATGGGCTTTGCATCTGACGGTCCCAAACTGTCCTCGTCTCATCTCCCATGGGCACGCGCCACCGGAGCAGCAGCAGCCTTTAGTGCAGATTTGTTTCTTATCCCAAGTTTGGCTCAAAAAACCTCATATCTTTCCAAGACAAGGAGGGAAAGCAAACAGGCTGATGCATTCCCATGGGGCACACTGTGTTTTAGAACATCAGTGTAAGCCCTTTCGAAATAGCTGCCTTTCCTAGAAGAAACCTGCTGCAACATATATACTTAAGCCGACAGCTGGGATCTCAACAAGACATCGATCAGAAATATTAACAAGTCCCCCTGACCTCTGGCACATCTACAGAGCCTTCGGGGCTTGATTAATGGCACAGTTTCTGCATCTCCATCCTCCTGCCATCCTCTGGGACCCGGGCTTTGGTCCAGGAGGAGGCGAGGGGTTGCTTTCCCATCTCCCAGGAGTTCAGGAGTCCCTGGCATTCCCCCACCTATCATGGATTAGGATAAAAGGCAAAAGCTCCAACAAAAAATCGCATAGAAAAGACCATTTCAAAGTGCGGTGACTGAACAACGTTGTTTGGATACTTTTGAAACGTTTCATTTAGATTACAACGTGTTTAATTCACAGAAACTTTCATTTTTAAGAACAGATTAAGTTAAAATGGACACGCAAAGCACCGTGCCAGACCAAGTTTGAATGATAAAATGTTGAAGTAGGGTATTTCAAATATTTCCTTAATCTTTTGGCTTTTCCTTAAGCCACACTGCCTTATCCCTGACCTAGACAACATCATGCTGGGGAACCTCCGTGATTCTTCCCTTGCTCCTGGGGCAGCTGGTTTGCTGCTCCAGGGAAACTCCTCTTTGCAAGTGCAGCTGATGCCTCCCTTGCCTTTGTGGACATGCTGAAAAAATGGCAGTAGTTTTTTGAGGGTTTTGGTGCTTCGGCTCATCACTGAACCACTGCAGCTACAGAGGAGGTGTCCCAAAGAAGAGACAGTGCAGACACCCGAGCCTTCCTGAGCCCACCAGGAATTCCACCAGCGCTTTGAAAAATATCTCAAGAGAAGCACAATTCATGAGCTTGCTGCAACCCCATCACTCCTTCCCTCTGCAAACCATCCCTGGGCTTACAGCTGGCAGGGAGAAAGCAAGAGCAGGAGCACAGAGAGGGAGGAATCACTTACCGAGGCACTCGTTGGCCTCCCTGGCATTGGCCCGCTGCCAGGGGCGGTCATAGTGGAAGGGCTTGCAGCGGTCACACTCGGGGCCCTCCGTGTTGTGCTTGCAGTCACACACCAGCTTCTGCTCCTTGTCCTTCACGCAGCGCGAGGCATGCCCATTGCACTTGCAGCGCCCGCCAACCTGCAGCTCTCCCACTGCGTAGTAGTAGGGCGACGAGCCAGTGCCTCCATCCTCCTCCTCGTTGTCACGGCTCCCCAGGTCACGGAAGAGATGAGGACGGCTGAAAATGATGCGGATGTCAGTGGCCGTCACCCAGTCCTGCAGCACGGGGCTGTTGTCAAAGTCTTGGGCAGAGGGCCGCCCATCGAGGGTGCTGAAGGCGATGAGGCCCCCCGTGAGGGGGTAGAGGTCAGTGAGGCCGTCGGTGCAGAGGGCCTCTTGCTCGTTCTGCTTGGTGACGGTGGCTTTGTTGGGCTTGCCGTAGATCTTGCGGCACTGGGAGGAGTAGTACTGGTAAGGCACCCATGTCTTGCCGTAATCCATGGACTTGAAGATGGCAGTGGACTCGGGACGCGGTGAGCAGAACTGGAGACTCACGTAGACCACCTCGAACTTCTTGCCGAGCGAGAGGGTGAGGGTGACGTTCTGCGGCGAGTGGTGCAGGGTCTCGGAGCGCCAGCACGTCATGTTGGAGGCAGTGTTGAGGTCGGTGAGGTAGGCCGGCGGGTGGGCTTTGCGGGGGTCTGAGGCATTGCAGTGCCGCGTTGGAGGCTTCCCGCACGTGCTGGAGGCCTGTACCTCCTTCCCAAAGGCAGCGTTGACAAACTCAGGGATGCAGCGGCGTGCAGCTCCGTTCTCATCGTAGCAAGGGTCTGGGGGTGTCTGCTGGGCCACAAAGGGGTTCACTGTCTGGGAAAGGCCCAGCATGCAGGCAGTGAGGAGCAGGCGCAGGAGCTGCAGGACCTCCATCCTCCTGAGGCGAGGAAACCGGGGCCTCCCTGGAGGAAAAGCAAAGAGCAGTGAGTACTCACAGCAGCTCGGCTGGATGGCACTTCCCATGCTCGCTCCACCTTGGAGGCTAGAACAACGCCTGGATGTGGAGGTTGGCAGAGTACATGGGAGACCCAGATATGCGGGTCTTGATTTCTGCATGTGTTCCCACCCTGTTTCCACTGAAACAGCATCCTGGGAAAGGAGAATGTAGTCACTTTGAGACATCCTAATTACAGGAATCCCTCACGTACACCTCTGTACCTGGGAGGTGATGAAATGAGAGAGAAGGAGGCCAAAACCAGGCACCCTGGCTCAGACCTTCTCCAATGGCATGACAGGGACTTCTGAGACCCCTTGAGAGCTGTTTGCAGGGGGAATGAATACCCCACACACTGCCTGCAGCCACCAGGCTTTTATGTGTAGCCCCGTACGCTGAAGATAACGTCCCCAAGCTGAAGCAGTTCAAGACGCAGCAGAGAAGGAGGAAAAATAACCTGTGGCACTATGGTGACTAGCTGAGATCTCCACCTGGCTTTCTGTGACTGCAGAGCATCAGGTGTCTTTCTAGCCCCCAAACTGAGGCCAGTGTGTTCCCATTTCAAGCCCTGAAGTTGCTCAGCAAGATACACCCTGCAGGTCAGCCCCACGGGGAGCTGGGACAGAGGATCCAGGCTTAGGAACAAAACCTTTGAAAAAGAGAGTCAGTGCCCTGTTCTTCTGCACTGTTTGAGCGCCTGGAGAGGGGCTGAGAGGAGTAGCACAGCTTCCTGCCCCATAGGGCAGGAGGACCTAAGAGGCAGAAGAGATCTTGAAGTCATGACAGCCACAGAAAGCCCAGAATTGTTGAGTTGCACTCTGAAACACTTTCTGTCAGCACCAAGAGAAAGAACAGCAGTGAAAACACATTGTAGGGACACTGCGACAGGCAGCAGATCTCCAGGATGGGAGATCCTGGGGTCAGCACCACCTTTCCGGCTGTTCCAGCCTCTCAGAGCAACCATCCATCTGGCCACAAGCATACTGCCCTCCCTGAGGGGACTACGAGCCTGGGCCATGTTTCCTCCGAGTCCCACTGCCACGTGTATCCTTCCTCACTTGCCCGAAGAGGTTATTCCAGCCTTGTCCCCAAGAAACTGAGGTCTGTCCCATGTGATAACAGAAGAAGAATCAAGAGAGAGAAATCCCAGGGCTCAGGCAGGCTCCTCTCCCTGCGGCGGCAGCACAGGTCTAGGTAATGCTGCGTTGCTCCCAGAGCACACAGCGTGTCATCCCTTCCTGAGCTGCTGCCGTGCTCTTGGTTCAACCATGTGTGAGGGACCTGAGGTCACTTCACCTCCTTCTGGCTCTGACCAAATCAGGACTGTCCCAGGAATCAATGAGACATCAGATGGTCATACCCCATCCTCAGCCTCCAGAGCGGCTCTGTGCCAATGAGCCAGCTTGTCTTGAGTGCTGCAAGACGCCGGGAGAGGAGCAGACCTTCCCCAAGAAGCCAGGCTGGGCAGCTAGCATGAGAGCCAGCCCAGGGCTCGCTTACATGGAGGGGCCATGCCAGCTGCTGCCCAACCTCACACAGGGCTTGCCTGCAAAGCCAAGGCTTTCTGGCCTCTTCTCAAGAGGGCCAGCCCCTTGCTGCAGCAAGGGAAGGAGGAAGAGGTCCTCCCCCACTCCCCACCATCCCTTCTCCCACCAGTAAATCATTGCAGGATGACTTGGGTTTTGCGCTTTGCTCTCAGGAATGAAGCCTTGGCCAACGCTACAGGCACGACTCAATGTGGCAAATCCTCTGCTACTAATTTATAGCCCCCTGCCCCCAACACTGCTCCTGGCTATCCGGCCGTCTGCTCCTTCTGAAGGAGGCAGGCGGGGAACAGTCAGTTTGAAATGATCTGGGATTTTTTCCTTTTTGAGAAAAAAAAAAAAAAAAAAGGAGCCGTCGCTTTGGAAGAAAGCTTGCTCTTTCCTGCCTGCCAAACCACTAATGGGGCGGGAAGCTCCTCCCTTTCCAGCCAAGCACAGCCCTGCTGCCAGCTCCTCTGGAAAACAGAGCTGATGACTCCGGGCGAGCCAAGGCAGAGGAAGGAAGGGGATCTCATCCCTCCCCCAGAGATATCCCCCAGAAGGATTCCCGATCCCACCACGTCTCTACCATTTACTTGCTCCTCCATCCATCGCTGATGAGAAAGGAGGTATTTGCTGCTGAAACTCAGAGGCTCCCTTGGTGGCCTTCTCCCTAGTAGGTGTATCCTGTCCTATCTAGCAGTGCTGAAGGGCTTTTTGGGGAGACCCTTTGGGCCCTCAGAGCACCAGGAACCCAGTACTCCAGAGCAGTGCAGTGGGTAGACAAGTGTTGCAGGAGCAGAGCTGGAAACAGGCCAGTTTTAAACCACTTGCCCAAGACCACGCGCAAAGGCTGGAGGGAGAAGACAGGTTCCTGCAGGTCAGGTGGTGTCTTCACCCTCTGAGAAAGAGCGTGGGGACATGCCAGTCACTGCAGCAGAGAGAAAGAGCCACTCTGCCAGGCTTGGAGCGACACTGCCGGGCCGGGGACTGCCCACCCTGGCCGGCAGCGCGGGCTGGAGGACGCGTGTCTCACGCAGCAAGCGCTTCTCCTCAGCAGATGTGAGCAAAACCTTTCTGATAAGGAAAACCAGACCAATGCTCCCTTGGAGGTTCAAATGGCACGGTTCTTGAGGTTTTGTGTGGCAAGAGCAGCACTCTGCTTTGCAGCCCTGCTGAGATCCAAGTGGGATCACACATCTGGTGAAGAACTGTCCATGCTGCTGGGAAAGGGTCAGGGCAGGCCCACGGCACAGTGCTCCTGCTCGCTCTGGGCTTACAGCTGGGTGCCTCTTGTGTGCCGTTGTTTGCGGGGGGACCATGCAGGCAGCTGCAGAAACGTGCTGGAGCGGCGGTGCTCCCTGCATGGCCAGCAGCTTCTGGGCTGAGCCCACGCTGACCATGCAGACACTCCTTCTTTCTTCTGTCCCAGCAGGTGCTTGACATGGTCCTTGGCAAATCAGCACCGTTCTTCCAACCTCCCTTCCAACACCGAGCTACAAGGAGCTCCCCCCCTGGCCAGCAGCTGCCTCCCGGGTGGGGAGAGGAGCACGAGGGGGAGGTGGAGACGTGGCCAGGGGCCTGGCGGAGCACCCAGGCCGCCGGCGCTGGGGACAGCGGATGCTGCCAACTTCAGTGTGTCCAGTGCGCTGGGAACTGTCCAGCAAGAGAGCACAGAGCAGTGCTGAATCCTAATGGGACAGACCATGCAGACCCGGCGGCATGGATGGGCCGCAGAGCCCCAACGGGACAGACGGCACAGCCTGGCAGATTGGATCGCACAGCCCCACGGGATAGACTGCGCAAACATGACCGGACAGGCTGCACAGCTCCTGATGTCCCAGTGCCCTTAAACCTGCTCTCCCAACAGAAGAGACCTAGTTTTAAGGCCAATTACGTCATGTCAGAGTTAATAAACCTGTCTTCTTGCAGGTCTGTGTCCTTTGCCGCACATATCCCCTTCGCTCTGTCCCATTGCAGCTGCTACACAGCCAAACTCCATGAGGACAGAGGCAAGGGCAGAGAGCCCCAGGTCCCCTAGAGCACCCGAGGCTCCAGCTCTCAGCTCTCCTCCTCGCTGGGAAAGCAGCCGGCACAGCAGCCTGCAACAGGCTCCAGACCCCTGGGCAGCGTCCTCGGAGACCTGACACACATCCCTGGATGCTCAGCGCAGCCCCGCGATGCCTCCGGCTCTCCCACTGGCCCCGTTGTGCACAGCCACGCAGGAGGGGCACCTTGTGTCCCAAGGCGCAGTGTGAGACACTTGGAAATGAAGGAAAGTGCTAAAAATGCAAAAAAAACACACTTGTATCACCATCAGCTGGCCTTTGTCGGCAGAAATTGCGGGAATAAATCTGGGCTCTGCTGCTGGGCCAGCACCAGCCAGAGCTGGACACAGCTTCGCTGCCTCCACGCAGGTCCCTTCTTCACCAGCCCAAGCC